AGCCCGACCCACGGCTGGCGGCACCCGCGCAGCCCGCCCCAGGGATGCCGCCAAGGGCACCAGCCTCTCTTTTGCCCGGGGCGGTATCTCTGCCCCGTGCGCAGGGGTTTGCAGGGAGCAAGGCAAGGCCGGTTTGGGGGGATTAATCGGCGCGTCAGTGCCATGCGGCGACAAGGCCCTGGGTTGGGAAGGTTTATAATAGGAAGGAGAAAACTTGCAGAGCACCAAACAATCAGGAGAAGGACCCGTTCTGCCTGCCATGGAGCCAGGACAGGGTTATAGCAGCGACTTGGACCACTCTCTTACATTCATCTTAGGTTTTGCTTTTGGACTCTGATGAAGAAAGGTCCACAGGCATGTTTTCAGCCTTTAAAAGAAACGTTATCACACTTAAAATCTATTCTCCTTTCTACAACGATGGGCTAGAAGCGAACGCTCTGCTGCCTCTCCACCCGAAAGGCGAGCTTCGCTGCTGCTACGCGCAGGAGGCCCAGCCAGCTGCCCCGGAGGGCCTGCCCAGAGCCTGTCCTCCCGCTGAGGCCCTCCAGGGCCACCTGTTTGGCAGTGAAAAACGCAGAAGTCGTGCGGTCGCTGCCCGTGAGGCCCAGCCCGCAGGTCCCCGTCCGCACCAAGGTTCACAAAGCGCGAGGCCGAAAAACCCCAGTCCTGACACCTCTCAGCGCGCTTATGGGTCTGCGCTACCAAGGAACGGCCTTGCTGCGCCCCTCTCTCACCCCGCAGCTCTCTGCCAGCTAGATGACGGAGTGCTTTGGGATGCAAAGAGATTAAGCATTTTAAATACCTCACTGCTTACTGTTGCCGTTTTAATGAACAGCCAGTTAAAGCTTTCAAGGCTCCACAATTGCTATAAAAAACCCTAAATCCATGTGGCTCTCCAAGGCTTTTATACTGCTACCTTTATCACAGTGTCTGAATGACTTCCAAATAAAATTAGTAATATGTATTATTAATCACTCCCATTGAGTCTGCCTCTCCACCTTTGGACCTGGCGGGCTGAGAGCCCGTAAGCTGTCTGCCTAAACTCATACGAACTGCATTTCCCTTCATATTCCAAAGCCTGGTGTTCGTTTCCAGGACCTAGCTGTCTACCTCCCGCTCTAGTTTTAAAAAGCAAAGATTGCCTCTTAACTATTTACTTCACTAAGGGCAGGCAAAATCCCACTCAGGGGATCATTCACCAAGAACGAAGTAACTTCTCAAAACCGCCCGACCTAGGAACCTACGTAGA